GGTTTCTGAGGTTTGAACTGTCACAAATTCCCCCCCCCCCCCGGGTCCAAAAAAGCTCTTAAAACAACTAGTTTTTCAGCAAATTCTAGAGAACGTCTCCAAACATGGAGGCCCTAAATTTAACAAAGTAGACTTTTCTTAATATAAACTTTATGCCGAAATTTTGGATGATGGAGAAATAAAAGACAAATCCAGATTAATACTATGCTCTCCATGTGTTTTAGTCTCTGTTAAGACATGTTTGCCTGCAGTTTGGCACCTGTTTGTGCTAAAATCTGCATTCCATGATTAGAGTAAAGCTTTGCATGATGACAGATGCCCCTGAACTACACCCACAACCTATCTGCAAGGGGGAAGGGGAACCTTTGGAGCCTTTACTTAAGTGCAACTCCAAATAAATTTGGAAGAAAACATCCCATTATGAAATGGGATGTTTTCTGTCATTTTCAAAATGACAATAAAGGACTATTCTATTCTATTCTATTCTATTCTATTCTATTCTATTCTATTCTATTCTATTCAAGTCTAAACTCTCAAACTACTTTGTTATCTGCAAAGAAGTCTTTGCATTTTCCTGTTTGTGGAGACACATTTCTTCCTCTAAAAGTCAGTCATGATGATATGTATGCACCTTAGTGGGCACTTTCTCTGAATCTCTCTGTATTTTACACACCTCAACACCAAATCATTAAAAAACATATACAATCTAGGATCCATCAACCTACAAATTTGTCACTTGAGCAGCTCATATTTAGATTAGAAAGCAGGTGAGACTTATAGCAAGTTGTATTCAGAACTGAACTATACGACTGAACAGAAAAATCTGTCCACGTTTGGTTCCCATGCTCCACCTTTCCCTGTCAGTCCTGTCTGCACATGTAAAAGTAGGTCCACTTTCTACTGTCGTTCAATCACCACTTGCTCTCCTTGAAAGGTGCTGTTTGGTGAGACCCTCCTTGTCCTTCATGCTTCAAAATTTAAATTTCATCCATCTTCTTTCCAGCTCTGGGCTGTCAAGCTCAGGAAGACTTGTCTTGAAGTTAGTACTTACAGTATGTAAACTGATGTGTTTGAACACATAAGTGTGTCCTCCCACCGACCTCCAAAGGAGAAGAAAAATAAGCTCTGTGTCACTTTTTTAAAGGCTTGTTGACCTTCAGCCACCAGGTGACACAAATATTCTGCTGGCTGATAAACTGCTAGGAGACAGCCAGATTCAAATCTGGAAACTTTCCTTGCATATTCTGTGCCATGTTATCATCATTGCACCTTTTCATCCCTGCAGATTCTAGCTGCCCTAGCTGCTGGGAGGACACACTTATGTGTTCAGACACATTAGTTTACATACTGTAAGCCACTGAGCTCACGAGTTTGGAGTCGCTATCAGAGGCCATAAATCTGAAGACAGAGGAGATGCTGTCTGTGTCAAAGCCAGGGCCTGATTCTTCTACCTCTGCAAACCAGTGGACAGGTTAGTCACCAGCATCCCTCGGTTATTCAGTCCCAATCTTTCTAACCATATGTTTTTGTAACTGTGTTTTCATTTTAAAACAACTATGTGCATAATAATTATTCTGCATTTCTTTGGCATTTAAGTGCAAATGACTAGCTAAGGAACAGAGTGAATGCTAGTCATTATCCTTGGAATCCCAGTGACTAACAAAGCGATGCTAGTGACCACCAGGGAATTGTCAATCCACTGACTAGCTTAGTAAAGCAGGAATTACACTTTCTGTAGCTGTAACTCTATTAGGATTTCTCCTGGGTATGAGTGATGTAAATTTTGTGTAAGAGTCTATGCAAATGGCCATTTTCTTGTAACTCTGCTGACTCGTCTGCACAGAATTTGTATTACAGTGTATGAACTGCAGATGTTCCTCAGGCAGTGTTGTTATGTGAATTCAGTTGCAAAGAGGGTGATGAACCGAAAACCTCCTGATTACTTTGGTCACTAGCAGATTACAGCGGTCTCCAGCAGTTTGCATGGAGGTCGTCAACTTGTGTGCAAGCACTCATCAACTACTACTGGAGTGGTAGTGAAACTCTGAAAAGTGTGATCCAAACAGGAAATGGAGAATGCTCGCCTTCAACATAAAAGTTGTACCTATGTGCTACTCCCAATATGTTTCACAAGGTGCAGCTTTTACTCTGAAGGCAAACGGTCTCCGTTTCCAGTTTTAAAGGAACAATTTCACTACAGAGTGTTTGTAGACAAGTCAGCATCTTCCATTCAAACAACGAGGAATCGCAGCAAACTGCAAGGCAAGTTTTACCAACTGTTCGGGGAATAGAGATTTTGCCCTCGGGGCATAGTGCTGACTGGTCGTTGGGTCTATGTGACTTAGGCCTTACATTGTCACTATGACTGTCACACATCCAAAATGGCAAATAGGTTAATGTCACGTGTTTAGTAGTCACATGAATGCAAGACCTCAATATGCAAAGAGTGAATTAATGCACATTTAAAAATAGATATTCCAGTAAATCACTCCAAACAGAATCAAATGCAGGTTCACTCGCTTGCTGTGACTCAGTGATTTATTATTTTGGACAGTGACAAATTAAATGACTCAGGAAGAAAAGATCCAGCTGTTCCATGCTTTCTCATTCCTGCACCCAAAATAAAAAAATATGTGCAAGACCAATTTGCCACTAAACATGCTCACATAATCTGGATCTTATTATAAACACAAAGCAATTTCCATCAGTGTTAATAAAGCATGATACAAGTTCGTTTTTAAATAATGTCAGCTGGAGATTTGTATTGTTTTATTGCACGTTTAAGTTCTGAAACCAAACTATCCATTAATAAGGAAATAAACCCCCACATCCAGTTATTGTTGTCTAGCTTTACAGACCGTCCACTAGTAAAAGCTGAACCATCTGAGTGTATGGCGACCTCTGGTGGACAGATAAGGATACTCGCCTGCAGTAGCACAACAATGTAAACAAGGATTACATTCATAAATATATCCAATAAAGGACTGAAAATTCATCACATTTTTGCAGATCTTTGAAATTTTTACCATCAATCATCTGTAAATGTTGAAGACTGAACGTGGCGACACTGACATGGTATCTGTAGTATATTAAAAAAACAACATATCTACCAAATTCAGCGCACAAGTCTCTGCCTGTGTGTGCGTGTATGTGTCTTGATGACCACTGATACACACAGACACACACAGTAACATTTTCTGTTCTCTTCTCTCACATTGACTACTTCTGCATGAACACACAGAACATACTGACCAATAGGAAAGTTCCCTTCACCCATTTTTTTCAGTTTTATTTGGCGATGTACTTTGTAAATGTATCATTTCTGTACATTTAACCCCCATTTTGCTGCAAAGGTCACAGTCACTGAGGAGGAACCTCTAGTCTTCAGTTTCTGGCTTCTGTTGTCTCGTCCTCCTGTTTTCACTCCTGTATGGGTGTCTCTTCATCGCTTGACGTCTCTGCAGACTTCTCAGTTGAATGACGAAAAGTGTTTCACTGTAAAGATTCCTCTGACAAGTCTAAAATGAATGTACTGCAGATGTACATATGTACTGCAGATCTCAGGATAACTGAGCGTTACCAAGCAGGGCAATTTAAATCCATTATAAAATGGATGAAAGTCTTTAAGGATTTCAATGAAAGGTTTTAATAGAATAATTTGTTTGATTTTGGAGCCACGTGGGCACTAAGCTTTGTATTTGCTCTTGTAGTTTTAGCATTCCCTTTCAATATGATCAAGTTGTATTCACCAGGATCATTGATAGAGCCTGGATGCATTCCCTGGTCCTCTGCAAGAGTCACTGTTAAATGTTAAAAAAAAGACCGTCAACCATCACTCTGCATCTGTCACACCCTGTGAGTCCCACCTGTGTCCATCTCACTGAGAGATCGATTGAAACTGACTCAGAATTCATTTGACTTCATCACAGGTCGCTCAGGCTGAGCATGTTTCCTCTATGTGATGTAATTTTTTTTAGCTTTATTGATATTATTCGACATCTGCCATAGAATTTTTTTTTAAATATAATAACTGTACAAAAGATGTACATTTTTAGGATATTATATGTATTATTAATAGATTTGATCTTTAAATCTGAGCCGTTTTAAACCAACTTCAGCACAAAACCTCCACCCTATCTCCTCTTTGACCTCTTTCCTGCTGTCTCTGATGTAATCAGTGCTCAAACATACAGTAAAATAAAGAATAATATAAATAATCTCTGTAAGTTGAAATCTTAATAACAAAAAGAAAAAGTATACAAATAAATAAATAAATAAAATGCAATTTTAAAAAACGCAGGCAGAGTAACTGTAATCTTTTTCTGGATTCTTACCTGGATGTGCTTGTGCCAAATAAAGAAGCCAGACAGGGCCACCACAATCAGCAACACAATAAATACTAATCGCGTGAACATAAGAGGCAAATTTCCTACAACAAAGAAAGAATAAATTAATAAAACTGTAAATGTTTACAAGAATGATGCACATATGTTGGTGTGATAACTAACTGCTTGTGAATGGGATGATGACATCATCACTGTGTTCACTGCTGACTGGGTTTTCCAGCTGACAGCTGATTGGTTTTCCAGACCACTCTGTATCATCCTAAAAATGAAGAGGGAAAAAACAGAGAAGCACATAAACAAAACACATTACATCAGATTTCAGGACAGTTTTTTATTTGTAGAGAATCAAAATATCAACAGTATTGTAACTGAATTTACAAGAAATGTAAAATAAAAGTGTGTGAGACTGACATTTCCATCCACTATTGTTATGTGCCTATTGTGAGGTGTATTAATATACTATATGTCTAACAAAGCATCACTCAATTTGGACAGCATTGCATTATTCACTTTTTATTCAAGCTAGTGTTAGATTGGGTTATATAGCCTCTGCCCGTTCAACTTCTTGTTAATGCATTTATCTGACATGGCTTACATGGCTAATCAGATGAATGACAGCAAATTGATACATTTAAGCAGACAAAAAATGAGCAGCTGACGTGTTATGTGAACAATCAGATCCTGTTTGTACTGTTACTATGCTGAGCTGATTGCTTGAAGGCTGAGCTGTCTGCCTGTCACCTATCATCCAGGAATAGGTGACTGGTTTGGTGTCATTTGTGATGCTGGTTTTACAGGTGAGAGTACAGATGGTCATCTCAGGGTTGCATGATTTGGAGACAGTGGGTTTGGGGACAGCAGCTGATAATTAAAGACAGCAAACAAACAAGCTAATTATTTTAAATATGGTGAAAAAAAGAGTCAAAGCAAACTTCAGTCTGAATTCGTCCACTTACAGAGAACAGTGATTTTAGTCGGACTCATGACTCTGTTGTTGATCTCTGCTGTGTAGGTGCCGCTGTCCTTTACAGTCACGTTTGAGAGGGTCAGCGCTCCAGTGGAAGTACTCACCTCACACCGACCTAAAAACATCACAGTTACATAATTAACCAATTAGATAATTATTTAAATTGACTTTTAGTAAATATATGTAATGAACCAAGGTAATTCAATTATCTGTGCAGCATAAATTTATCATTTTAAAATGCATCAAATCCATGAAAGAGGTTAATTCATTACAGCACAATGACAGAAAAAATGTTTTAAAAAGGAATTTTCAATTCTTTTAGATAAGTCAATTTAGCTATTTTTGATCCCATTCATTTTGGGGATCAAGAATTTTTTTTTTAATATATCTTCAAAAGAAACCTTGGATGTACAAGCTGATTGATCCATATTCTTGATTTCGCACAGATTCCACACATGATGTCCTTCTGGACAGCCTTCCCATTTATCCAGGATTTTTCCAATCTAAGGCCACTATACAAAGCCCCTTTCAGGGTTAAATTAAGGATTTATTCTGGATCTATTAAGTGATTGTGGCTTCACACTTTCTTTCTAACACTAAACCATGAGTATATAATCTGTGTATACATGCATTTGATGTAAACCCCTTAGCATACGTACCTCTGAAGTCCCGGTACGGAACTATTTCACCTCCGTACCACTCCACAGCGATGTCCGGGCCATGTTTCCATGTGATGCTGGTGATGGGATCAGACACGGAGCCTGGAGATAGGACTACTTTGTCTCCCACTTTCTTGAAACTATCTTTGTCTATGGCGAAATAAAACCAAAATCAACATGATTTTTCATATTTAGTTCTGTAACCAAACATTTTGTTTATTTACAAAACTAATTTGCAGAACAAAACAAACACAGTTTAGCTGCATGTGTGGCATCTACAAAATGCTCCAAAAGATGTTAATGATGATCCCAGTTTATATGGGAGAGCACTGTAAAGAATTACATTTATCAGGTTTTGTCTTTTTTTGCTTGCTTTTAAGCATCATCAGCAAAACATACTTACATTTTATCACATTTAAACACATTTAAATGAATTCAACTGATTTCAATGAAGTTTGTAACTACTAATAAAAAGTTAGTTTACTTCCTGATTCGTGTTTAATGGCTCCAGAATAGCGACACATCCGTTTTACCATGAACACCCCCACCACTCCTTTACATTACCATTAACCATTAGTTTTTTTTAAATATATATATTTTTATTAGTTTTTCTGTTTTCACAAATAGTACATAATTACATAACATAATAAAGTGTACAATTCAGAACCAAAAACAAATAAACAAAACAAAAACAAACAGACTGATAACTAAGCACAGAACACCAGCTCAGTTCCATCTAATAAATAAATAAATAAATAAATAGAGAGTACAATACAGTACAATACCTGTGGTCCCAGTAGTATGTTGCAGTTTGAACACTCAAGAGAATCCTTGTAACATAATATTAGAAACATCAGGTTCCACATAATTCAAGTTTGGTTCCCACACCTTAAAGAATTGATCTGTTTTTGAGTGCAGTATACATGTAAGATATTCCAATGGCACTAGATCCAACACTACTCTTTGCCAACCTTTAATAGTTGGTGCTTTTTCATAAATCCATTGGAGTAGTATATTCTTCCTTGCAGCATAGGTGAGAACACAGTACAATCTCCTATTATTCTTGGATATTAATCGCCGGCTGGGGAGGCCCAGTATAAGAGACAGAGGGTCCATCTCCAATTCACAACTGAAAATCTTCTCCATTTCAGATAACACATTAGACCAATATTCTTGCAATTTCAAACATGACCAGAAGCTGTGAGTTAGGGTACCAATTTCTGTCTTACATTTGAGGCACATGGGTGAAAGGGTAGGATTATATTGATGTCTGCGAAATATGGATATATGCATTCTGTGTATGATTTTTAACTGTATTGCTTTGGTACGATTACAAACTGAGATTGATTTGGCATAACTCCAGACATGTTTCCACTCTTCATCATCAATTGCTATACCTAACTCCTTTTCCCATGTGCCTTTAAGCCTCTGTGACATCACTGAAAGTACAGAATATAAAGCCTTATAAAATATCTTCACAGGTACCTCTTTGTCTGTTAAAAATAATAATTTTTCAACAGGAGAGACTTCATGACTCTCACTAAAGTTAGTACTATGTAAAATATAATGCCTTATCTGTAAGTAATGGAAAAAGTCATGTTTGAGGAGAGAATATTTCTCAACCATTTGGTCAAATGGCATAACTACATTGTCGGAGAATAAGTCCCTCAGTCTCTGAATTCCTTTGTTCTTCCATTCCTTAAAACCTATATCAAACATCCCCGGTTGAAAGTCAAGATTATTCACAATAGGGGTAAACACAGATGTTAACTTCAACCTTCCCTCAATTCGACATACTGACCGCCAGGCCTTAAGTGTATTAAGTGTGACTGGATTATCACAGCTCAATCTAATATCTTTAAAGTTCTTAAAGAACAGTAAGTCCCTTAATGGATACTTTGAAAAAGAGGTTTCAATCCCCATCCAGATAGAGTGTGAATTATTTGTGACCCAGTCATGAATATAGCACATGTGAGTACTCAATTGATATGTTCTAATATTTGGTAAATAGTAAATTAGTTAATCACTCAGTCTCCGAGTACTGCAGTACTCGGAGACTGAGTGAACTGAGTGAGACTGAGGTTTGGGTCCTACTTCCTGCCTGCTACACAGCGCAAAACATGACATTTAGTTTGAGACGATATTTGTTAAGTGTCCATACAAAATTCCCCAACTCACCTGAGATGACTCCCATTGCGATGGTCAGGATCATCAGTCCCACAGACAGAAACATGCTGTCAAACGAGTCAAAAACAAGACCGAAAACAGCAAAGAATCAGCTGATAATATCAGTAACAACAGCAGGAAGCTACAAATAAACTGTGAAAAAAGTGCAACAAGCAGAGACTGACAAACTGAAGACAAGAAGAGGAATTAAAAGGTGGTTCCTTTGCAGAGGGTGGCTCAATGACTCATCTACTGAAATACAGTTTGGTTGTACTTTTACATATTCAAGTGTTTATATGATGTGTGTAATTCATTTACGTTGTCTTTGAATACATTTATATATCTATATATATTTAAAATATAAGCCTAATGAATTACGCTGTATTATTATAAAATAACCAGAAGTTTATCATCATTATCATCATCATCACCTTTATATATAAAGCACATTAAATCAACCACAGCTGACACAAAGTGCTGTACATTGGAACTATAAAATAAAATTACATCAGATATAAATAAAAAATAAATAAAAGAAAAGTAAAAATAATTAATTAAATAACTAATTCAATTGAAAGAAAAACTATGTCTCACTGAAGTTAAAAGCCAAAGAATAAAAGTGGGTTTTAAGACGTGATTTAAAAGTTTAAGTAACCAAATATAATCTGCACAGCAATATTAATTACATTAATAATCATTCATCATTAATAATATTGATATGATGTCCACAGTGAGTCATTTTACGTTAGGTACTCTAAATATATTTGATGCATACACCATTGAGCTGTTACAAATTTAAATTTAAAAATAAAACAGGAAGCTGAAAATAAAAAATAACCCAGTTGCCTAGCATCTGAACTCTGCTTCAGATTAACAAGCACAGAGAGCAGCCACAGTGACGTCATCTAGTAGTTTGTGAAACATTGAGGTTTTTCAAGTTGAGTGAACAACAAAACACAACTCAAACATGAAGAATAATCCTTTCAAATGTGCCATTTGCTCCTTTAAGTTGCTGAGTCCTGATTGGGCCTCAGACTGGTTATCTAATGCAACAGTGAGCTAGATTTAGCAATCTGTAGTCAATTTATGGAAAAGGCACAAATCTTTGAGGGCAGGAGGTATTTTTTTTAATGTTCATAGGTCAGAGTAATTTTTTGTATTTTTGTTTTTGGGACGAAAGCCCACACATCACTAATCATTTAAAGAATAGACAATTAAAATACTTTTGCTTAGGTTTCAACCAGTTTTTCTTACTAGTAAGCTAAAGCTATGTCGTAGCCAGCTTAAAATGTTCACCAAGAGATCATTTGCAGTTGGTTGGCACACATAACTCACAGCCTGTGAGTGTGAGAAATATTTTTGTGGCCAGGAAGTTTCTCTGTTGGCAAAATAGTTTGTGGTGAGCCACAAGTACAGGTTGAGTCCGGCCTCACAGGGTTGCTACATCAAGCAAACTTGAAATTGAGAAACCAGAAACTTTTCTTACCTGGATCATCAAGCATGCATCAAGCTTTAAAATCTCTGGTTACCTGTTTTTCTTTTAAAAGACGTCATCTACTGGTTTGCAAAACCTTGAGGCTTTTTATAGAAGATGAGCGTTTTCGTCAGTGTGTTGTTGGTGGCTGATTACTTTTGTTACAATTAATTGCAAAAATGAAAAGTATACCAGGAAAAGGAGACAGCAAATCTTAAGCTTTGATGTTGATGGTTATTGAAAGATGCTTCATGGATCAGCAATTCATGTAAGAGTAAAAAGTGTGACTACCAATCTTCGATAAATACCCTATCAGAGTTATCACATGGACTATCTAGTGCAGCCTTTACCTGCCATTCTGTAATTGATAGAATGAAAATATTTATCAAAGGAAGAAGCATGACATGACTACACCAATAAATCTCAATTTTATTGTCTTTGTTTTCATGATTTTACAAATATGATATGGAACGCCAGGACTGCCATAATGAATTAATTAAATACACCATTAAATAATTAATTAAATGTG